ATCCGAATAGAGATTAATTTTTTTGCTTAGCAAATTTGTGCAAACTATTCTTCACAATAAAGAGGCTATTTGGGAGTGATTAATTTATGGGTAAAGTGATTTCTACAAAAGCTGAAAGCAGAAGCACCTCATACCTGTTTCTCCAAAACGGTGTTCTATGTACAAAATAATGGTGATGAAAAAAGCCGAATCTGACATGTCAAACAGAGTAAAATCATTTCTATTCAAAATAAAAACTAAATTATTAAAAGCAGCACACTGCCAAACACTCTCAAAATATGTCAAGAAATTCTCGACTCTTTTTTTGGAATTTAAGTTAAGTAGAAATTATCCACTTGATAGAAATAAGATAAGTTTAATGATTGTTGGATTGATAAAGTTTAGGCTTTGTTTGGTAAGAGCGTTTTCGATTAGCGTTAGCGTTTTGGATAACATTTTAACGGTGCAGATGAATTCAGAAAACGCTAACGCTAAAGGCTACCGTCGGATAGCTTTTTCAAAACGCTAACGCCAATCTCTGACGCTGATGCCAAACGGGACCTTAATTTACTTCATCACCAAATTAACCACATCTTATCCAATTCGAGATTTATGTCTTTGCTTAGAAGATTTGTACAAACTACATACAAACTACTCCTCACAATAAAATATGTCATGTTATGGTCTATTTCGCAACAATATTAGAAGTAAGAATTAGTGTTCAAATAAATTACTACTTACGTTCTTAAATATTTATTTAATTTTAATTGTTTACCGTTAGTTACTTTAAACGTTTAACCTATGATTAATCGTATAAAACAATAAATAAAACTAATTAATTATTTTTGTATTAATATCTAATACTCCATATCAATTTTAATTACTTGGTGGTCAAAGATTTTAAACTTGAATGAAAAAGTCACAATTGTACTGATAATCAAGAACATGAGTAATATTCAAGTTTAGTGCTTTCAAAACTAATTTACGCTATAAACACTAATCGAAATTGTGAGTTCCTAGACAAAGTCTTCATAGTTTAAGTTTAAATTTTTGTGATCAAATAGTATGGTTATGATTTATTTCAAATATAAAGTCGCAATTTGAATCTCAATCAATACCACATAAAAATTCTAAAATTATTTTTTTGTGGGAAAGTCACGAGGTGACTAAAGTTATTCATTATGGGGCTTGACAAAAGTCGCGTGTCCCCTTCTTCAAACCCTCATAACGCTGCCCCACCATGCCGCCATTGTTGTGAATGGGCGTTGCCCCTTGCTCTTTGCTAGGTGACGAGTGACGACACTCCTATCTCGGTTAATTATTATTTATCACATATTCATCCAACCAATCAAAATAATTCACATTTTCATTCATTACTTTTCGGTCACGTCCTCTTTTCAAGTCTTATAACACATAGTAGTATTTTTTTTACTCACACTCAACTACTTACGAGGCATTTGCGTGGTACTTTATCAAATCTGTCATAACACATGGTCTAATAAACATATGACTGACTTGCAAAGTTTATCTCTAATCCGAATACATTATTATCCTTTTTTTTACTCCTTTTCATCATTTAATTATGTTAAGGTAAATTACTATTGTAATATGCATTTTGTTACTCACTTTGTCCTAATATTTTATTACTACAATTGAATTTTTTTCAGTCAAATTGTATAATATTCTAGCAGTAATTTTTTAAAAAAAGTATATTAATTATAATATAAATTTAGTAAATTTAATTTATCACAAAATATAATTTTAAAATATGGAGTATCAAATTTTTATGATATGGAACCATGTAAAACTATATTTATTTTATGGCAAAGTAGAAAAAAAAGGAAACTACGACGGAGAAACTTAGAAAGTGGGTTGGTCAAATGCTCGGAAATGGGTGCACCGCTTAATCCATTGCATCCACCGTATTCCACGACGGCCCATTGTAATATTCTATTTTATTAGTGTTAACATTTTAGATATTATTTTTAAAATATAAATTAATTTTGAAATTGCAAAGCATTTTCAAAATACAACAACAGCAACTCAGTTGAATCCCACTACAAAAGTATTTTCAAAATACAAATCTCTAAAATTATTTTCAAACAAGCCCAATAAAATTAGTATTATTGTTTAAGAAAATTACAAATACTTTGTATCTAATTGAGATTGATGCTTAAAAAGAGAGAAAAATACGAATAATTTTTTTATTTTTTGTAAAAAAAGTTGATTTTTGTTTTAACATATAGTAAGACTTTGACCATCATTTTTGTGCATCTTACAAAACATTTCCACCCATCTAAAATGTGTATATACCTCATTTCTTCACTATTGTGAATAAATATCATTTTTTGGTATTTTAAATATTGTAGGTAGGATAAGTTGAAGTGTTTTGTAGAATAGGTTAAAAAAATCACATAGAACTTTTTAAAAAACAGTAGGAGTAAAAAGAAACGTGGAGCACATTTATGAAACAAATCGAATACTATACCTTATTATCCATAATAATGTTTTTCTTATTCCTTTTTTTTTTGCTTAAAGTTTTTCTTTCCGTTTCTAGAAATAGAATAACTTAGGATTTTTTTTAAAGGAATGGTGGACTAAAGTAAGAAAGAAATGAAGACTACGTGTTAACTAGTCTACTCATTTAAACTCTGTAGAAAATAAAAAGTTCGTGCTAACAAATGCGCTGTTTCATTAACAGAGCGAGAAATATAACAAATACTCAAATCTCTGCCGCAGAGAGCAAGGAGATTTCTACAATCAAACACTCATAACTTGGATGTTGATATATGTGTTCTTTAAATTTTGCTCCGTATTTAATTATATGGAAAAATAGTTGTAGTTAATCTCTTAGAACTGTCAAGGAACCAATTCAACCAAAAGCTCAAGCTTGTGGTTGTGGCCTAGGAATGATTGTTATATACTCTAACACGCCCCTCACGTGCAGGCGTGACCTCTTTGAGCCTTGCACATGAAACCTTAATTTTTTTTTTAAATCTGGGTGGCGGTGAGTTTCGAACTCGTGACCTCTTGGTCATCAAGGCTCCGATACCATATCAAGGAACCAATTCAACCAAAAGCTCAAGCTTGTGGTTGTGGCCCAGGAATGATTGTTATATACTCTAACAAGAACATCTCCAAGGTGTAGTGTAAAAATTGGTAGTTGAAACTTTATTTTACACTATCAATAGTGTTTTACATTTTTCCATTTTTTATACTTACTCCAACCATATCTTCTATATAATACACTTTTTATAATATTTTTTGTTTTAAGTTACTTATTTTTAATGATTTTTTTAAAAAGACTTAATAAATACCTTGTACATATGAAAATGGAGAAGAGGGAAGGATAAAAAATAAAGAAAATTAATTTTTTATTCTTTCCACTATCTATAGTGAACTTGTAAAAATACACTTTGGAGATTACTTTTTACACTGCATTGCATTTTACCAATTGGTTTACCTTATCTATTGAAGTGTTGAAAAGACAACATTAAATTATATATAATGTATATTTTACAATATAGACTACCCCTTGGAGTTGCTCTTAGGCCGCCCAAAAAATAGCGTTTGAGTTTGCATTTTAGTGTTTGGGCCCACCTTACATGTAAATTACGGGTACCCGCAAGTATTACATCTCGGGCCTAGTAAACTTTAGTAATGTAACAACTTGCTCTGGCTTGAAATCCGGCCCGACCTGAAACTCGGCCTGGCCCAGACATTGATCAGGTCTAAGCATACGTTTACATCACTAAGGCCTCTTTTCATTTCGGTTAGATGAACGGAGTTAGAAAAAGATGGTAAGTAAAATAAATCTGAAACAAATAAAAAAATTGGAAAATAAATTGGAATAACTAGAAAGAGCAAAAATAAAAATTAAAAAGTTAAAAGAAAACTTATATGTGTAAAGTATACTTTTTATATTTCATATTTTTTATTGAGATAATTCATACACCCTATGGTTCATTCCTTTTTGTAATTTTTTTCTTTTTGTATGTCCCTTTTTCTTTTTCTTTTTTTTTTGCTTCAAACCACATTTAGTACTCCATCCGTCCACTTTTTTTTCTCATTTGAGTAAATGATCATTTTAAAATTTTTTCTAGAAATTATGAAAAAATATAGTCCCTCCGTCCAACAATAATGTCTTTGTTCACTATTTATAAAGGCAAATTTTATTCACTTTGTTGGCATATTTTTGTTGCCCATTTGATAAAATAATATAGTTATATCACCTATAATTTTGTTGATCTTTTCATGTAATTTTTAAATATATAATTTTTATCTTTTAATTTCATACAATTTTTTATATAAAATAATATGGAAATAACTTAAGTCAAACATCGCATCACACAAACGAGAACATTATTGTTGAACTGAAAGAATAATAAATTATGATTTAGATTTAATATCAATAGATTCCTTTTGACCATCAAATTTTTATAACACGGAGTATAAAATAATACTTGGTATATAAATCAAAATGTTAATTGTCAAAATGTTAGATTGAAGACTATAAAAAATTACTTTGTAAATGAGGAGAAGCAAAATAAAGGGAGGGAGTAATGTTCCATGTTTGTGTCTTTGTAATGGGAGCATTACTTTTTACTCCGTAATCAACGTGAATTGAAAACAACACTAATAAGAAGAAATGTACTCCGTAATATAAGTTTATTTATTCATAAGGGCTAAAATTGGAATGCAAAATATGATAAGTTTCTTTAATCTATCTCTAATCTTTCTAATGCAAAATATCACAAGTTTCTTTTTTAGCCCAATAAATACTTCTTCCCCTTCCCTGATAAAGGATCACAATTCCAATGGCACTTTTAACTTAAAAGTGCTCAACATAAAGGGAATTAAAGAGAGGATTGGGAACAAAACACACCATCAATCCTAGGTGACCAGGTGGGGACAGGAGTGGGAATATCACTCCCCCCCNGTGTTTGTAGACAATAAAGCAACACATGTGGCTTAACATCAAAGGGAATCAAACTTTAAAGAACATTGTGAGTGACACATTTCATTCTATCCCACTTTCATTCAATATACCAGGTGGTCTGTTTCATGTGACTTGTGATTTGCTGCAGCTTTACAAGGAATTTTCTTTTTCTTCTTGTCTTTTTACAGAAAAGATGAATTATGCAAGAGTTTGACACTTCTTGCACTCTCTAAATCATGTACTGAGTAACTTAAGAAAAACGTTTATATATCAAACAAGAGCCTAATTAAACATGCGATGTTCGTAGCATTCTTGAGATCTCTTCTTCTTCTTCTTCCCTATTCGGATGCGAGATGAGAGTGGCAAGAGAGAGATCCCCCTAGCTATCTACTACAATTCTGCTGGTCTTTACTCTCCAGTTCCCTTACATTGACCACAATATCTTGGATTTTATTGGACAGGTATCGATCGTGCTCCTCGATATGCTCAAATAGCATTTCCAGGTGTCTTTTGTAAGTTGCCGAGCGCTTCTTTTCGGCTGCCAGTTGTTGAGAGAGTTCCCTAATTTTATCGTGTTCGTTCTACACATATAAAACCACAAACATCATCAGATAACAGTAGTAAGAGCAGAGAACAATACCAGATGCCTGATTTGGTTATAATATTTAAAGCTTTCTGTTAAAAACAAGGATCTTTGATAGAAACAAGTCCTTTCCAAGAGTTGGATTTTTGGTGATTGATTTTTTTTTCCCGACACGATTACTACAACAACACCAACAAAACCCACCGTAATCCCTATTTTCAACTCTGTTGGAGTTTGGAGGTCTAGATATACGCAACCTTACCCCTTATAAAACAGAGAGGCTATTTCCTTTTTAATGTTGATACATTGCTCCATTTAGTACCCAAAACCTCATAAAAGGTAAGAAGCAAATGAAGTTTAATGTGTCATTTAAATTTAGTCATTTTTTGCCCAAAGCTAAAACATTCTCGATAATGACTCTTTTCATTCTTTTGGCAATGAATGCTTGTGCATGAGGTACCACCTCTAATTTAATTCTAGATGCACTTGACCACGAAGCCAGCACCAGCCACCTTGGGATGGCTGACCCTTCTAGATAGATTTCGATTGAATTGACTACATCATCTAACATATGAGAGTGCTTATTATTTTCAAGTAAATGTATAAATTGCATCAATAAGATTAACAATGACAAACCCATGATAATCCCAAATTCGTTGGGGGTATAGGGGGTCAAGATGTACACAACCTTGCCCCTAACAACAATTTGAAACTAGAGAAAAAACAAATTTAACAAAGCAGACACAATAAACTACAATATGGAAGAACATAAGGTAAGTAACAATTCTCAGACAAGAGGATATAACACGCAAGACAAAGAGATAGGTCACAAAATACAGGAGAGGGAACGAACCGGAAATTGGTCATAGATTGATTCCCTACGGCCTTTACCAGGAGCTAACGGATGGGTGTGTTCCTTCACAAATTTGGTCACTGTCCATTTGCCAGAGCTAACTTTTCTAACTAAAATCATTGCTCTGCACCCAACCCTAGTTTCTGCTCTTTGTCTCACAACCTTTTCCCTCCTATCAGCCATCCTGAAGCCCTCTTTGTTGCAAACAAGGGCTCGGCCAATGGCAGAACCGTCTTTTCTAGAACGAGAGAGCTTGCTGACACGGATAATGAAACCAACTCTAGTTGCATATGCATTGTAAAATGCATGTGCAGCTGCCTCCGATTCAAACTCTTGGCCCACGTAAGGTTCATTTGAAACTGAATTACTGACAGTAGTATCTGTGTCGTCATCATCATCTTCTTCTTCTTCTATTGAAGCTACTAAATCCCTTCCAGAATGGTCATGGTCAGTTCTAACATCGGGTCCATGGTGAAATGCATCTTCAATTGAATTTTCAACACAAGCCCCAACATCAATGATAGAACATCCCACCACCACCTCCCCATTTAAATCACCATCAGTCTCAAAATCCACTATAAATAGACAATTGGTTAGGTCATCAAACCAGCAAACTAAGAATGGAACTCAACAAAAGAAATAGAAGCTCCGTTCTTCAAATTCTTCAAACTGTGTAGAGCATTTCAATGGGATAAATGTCTTGTTTTATTACTGCTCTTATTATTTGGAACGGACTGGTACACCATGAACACCATGTCACCATCTCTAGCCTAATTGCTTCACGTGTATCAATATTATTATTGCCAAAAAAGGTCAATAACTCCACTGCAATATGTCTACCATATCATATTTTAAATTTCACAAATGACAAAACTTGCATGGCAAATAAGGGTAAACTGTTCAAACAAATTGTTCCATCATATTGAGAGTATCAACAACAACAAACCCAGTATAATTCCAGCAATGTCGAGGTCAAGGGGTTAACATGTACGCAATGTTACCCTTGGTGCATTGTTGCATCTACTGCCCAAAAGACAAAAACTTATCGATTCATCTAAAAGTTTCTATCTTTAATCAGGTCCTGTTGTATTAAGATTTCTTCAATTTTATTCAACTATACCAAGCATCACATTAGCAGAATTCAGTTTGAACTAAAGTTTAGCAATGTTAGAAAGATCAGATCTTTTTATTAAAAAAAACCATTTTTAGAGCACACATTGCAAAAAATGAGAGAAACTGAGAAAATAGGTAGTCAATCGCCTCATTTAATGCACCAAAAGCCAATAAATTCATGGCAAAGAAGCCACAAACTTTATCCAGAGGGCATCATTTTCACCTGAAGGAGATGAAATCAATAACGGACGAACAATAACAGGTCTAAACAAAGCAATATTTCCAAAGAAAGAGATAAAAAGAATTCCCCATCTTGCAGCAATCGTCAAAGGCAAAGGTTCCGTTTCACGCTACCCAATTGAAACAGACGGATTGGGGGACAGTTTGCTATAAGATTGATTTTATATATAATATATGTATATTATATGTATTCAAAGAATCGAATGAAGAAGAAAAAGACTCACTGGAAAAAAACTTCAGAGCAATAATAAGAGAGCCATGGCCTGCGTCTGAGCAGAGGGGAGGTGGGAGAGAGTGGTTAGGGTTCAGGTAATGCTTTAATTTGGGGATTCGAACAAAGGGTAAATTGGGAACGTGATTGGCTGGAACGACGACCGGAAGCCAATCTCCAATCACAGCCTGCCACGTGGTGCTGCGCATGGAACTCTCTGTGCGCCTTGGGGCTCTAGATCGATAATCCCACCTCAGGATCCGCCCGACCCGAATTATGTGGATCCAAAGATTAGATCCAATCATAATCAAAATGAGGGTTATTATATCACCCATCATCCTACTTTAGCAAGCTAATTAATTTTTCTATGTACTAATGGATGTGTTATACTTTAACAAGTTTGTCAAAAATTAGTTTGACTTGCTAAATATAAAAAGTTCTTCAAATTATGAGAAGTAAAAGTTATAGAATGAATTAACAAGTCATGGTTAGAGAATAGAACAAAAAAAATTACTTGTTAAAATATAAAAATAATAAACCAATTTAGTAAAAATGGTTGAAGCTCTTAGAACGGTAGCACTATGTTCAAATTCACTAAGAATTCAACTTTCAAAGTGGCCAAAAGCCGAACTTCAAAACTTTTAAGTACTCTTAGAGTTTCAATATATTTTTAGTCATTGTTGTAAAATTGGTGATTTTTGTTTTTTGTCACTAAAAAATACTCTCTCCGTCCCTAAATAAACTTTCCCTTTCGTTTTTTCTTTGTCCCCAAATAAACTTCTCTTTTTCCTTAAAAAACTCCTTTTACCCATTACTTTTTCATACTCTACCTATCACATCATACCTTTTTACTAATAATCTACATAGCACATCTTACTTTTACACATTACATCAAGGGTATTTTTGGAAAGTCAACACAAAAATATCCCTCCATTAAATCCTCTAAAAGTCAAAAGGGGAAGTTTATTTAGGAACGGAGGGAGTATTTTTTTGTTAAGTCATCTTTATACTTTTTTTTACTTTGAAAATGGTCATTGAGCATAATTTACATCTCTAATTTGTTGAGATAGCAAATTTATTTTGTACTCAACATCTTAATTTAGATTTTAAATTACCTCAAACATAATTTTCATGTCAAATGTCACCTTTTTCATTAACATTCCAAATTTCTAATTTTTATTGTAATTTATTCCTAGAAAAATTAGAAGTGAAACTTATGCTTAAGATCATTTTAAAAATAAAAAATTTTGCAAGGATGACTTAACAAAAAAAATTTATATGGACAAAAAAATTAACTATTTTAAAGAAATTAAAAATATATTTAACCATATTTGAATTATCATAAATTAGAAGCACAACTTAAAATTTACAATAGTCCTCTCTTCCATCAATGATAGAATGATAGTCCTTCTCTCCTCCATTAATTGTTACATAACACTCGGATCCCATAAATATTTCTTTCCATTATCATCTATCGTTAGTCACATTGTCACACATCATTTTTGTTATTCATATATTCCCTCAGTTTGATTTTATATTGTCCGTTTTAAATTTAAGACATATTTAAGGAAGAAAAAGAATTATTCTGACTTTCCAAAAATGTCTTTACCATTGACAATGACTGAGAAGATAAGGTGGAGATGAGTGACTTATTTTAGGAATAATTTAGGTATTTTACCTTTAAATATTTTCTAAAATAAAAAACATTTAACTTATTTTGAGACGGACAAAAAAGAAAAATATTCAATTTAAAATGAGATGACGAGAATATAATTTTGGTCGAGACATGTATTTTTATGTCTATTTTTTCTTTCAATAAATTGAGATTAATAAAAAGTATTACAATGTTTCATTTCTCACCATATTTTTTTTATATGGACTATACTTTGTTAAAAAAAAGCATAACAATTAAGTATAGTGCTAAATAATTGAATTTTACTAAAGTCGTAGTATAAAAATCTGTTATATCAACACTATATTTTACTAAATTTATATTATAATTTAATACATACTAGACTCGAACCCGTGCGTTGCACGGCCAAATTAAAAACTAAATAATCAGTGAAAGTATTGTCGTTGGAATTCAATATGATTAAATTAACATAAGACTATAATATGAAATATTTCAGTGCAGGAAATATGAATGATATATATTGTGAAACTATTACATTATAAGTTTTGGAAAACTTCTTTATAAACTACATTGGCGGTTTGGTTCATCTTATTTGGGTCTTCATTGCATATCAAGATCTTTAAACCTCTGCGATTTGTGACACGTGAAAGCGCTACATAAAGCTGGCCATGGGTGAAAACTGACTTCTTCAATAAAAGCCCAACATGCAACAATGATTGCCCTTGACTTTTATTAATTGTCATTGCATATGAAATCATTACTGGGAATTGTTTCCTTTGAAACTTAAAAGGAATTCTGGTATCTGACGGTGTAAGCAACAACCGTGGGATAACAACTTCTTGTCCAATATTTTTCCCCGTAAGCACCGTAGCTTGAATAAGATGATTGCCCAGTCTAGTAACAATCAACCTGGTCCCATTGCACAAACCTGAAGATTGATCAATATTCCTCAGCAACATGATTGGTGTTCCAATCTTTAACTTCAACTCATGGTTTGGCACACCAGAAGCTCGTATGTTATTCAANTCAAAGTTGCCATCGCGAGACATGTGTTGTAAGCGCATGTTAGTTGTCAAGCGTAAGACCGTGCAATATTTCCACAAATACGAAGAATTGATCGTAGCATTGACGATGTCTTGCCTTCTTCCTTTAGGTATGACGGGTAGAATTTGTCGAAAATCTCCCCCAAACACAATTGTCTTTCCTCCAAATGGAAGGGTCGAATTTGTTGGACAAACTACACTCATTAAATCACGTAGAGTTTGGTCCACGGCTTCAAAACAGTATTTATGGGTCATTGGAGCTTCGTCCCAAATTATAAGCTTGCTCATAACCAATAAGTCTGCAAGAGGTGTTTTTTGTTTAATGTTACATGTGGAATTTTCATGGGGATTAATAGGAATTCCAAAGCGCGAGTGAGCAGTTCTTCCCCCGGGTAACAATAAAGAGGCAATACCACTCGAAGCAACATTTAGCACAATATCTCCTCTTGAACGTATGCATGCAGACAACGTTTTCCAGACCAAAGTCTTGCCTGTACCACCATAGCCATAAACGAAAAAAATCTTCCCTTGAGCCGAATCGACGGATTCCATTATTGTTTCGTAAGCGTGTCGTTGTTCTTCATTCAACTGTCCCATCATCCTATGATGTTCATCTTTCAATGCATTCCGATCGTATTGTAATTCGTCAAGAATTAATCTGTTATGAGTCGTTGAAGCTGCGTCTAGATTGGGGAAAGGCATGTCAACAATATCTCGAAGACTCCTAGCTCGCATCCTAAGTAACATCTCTATCTCGATCAAGGCATAATTTTTTATTTGATCTTCGGTTAAGACTAAACCTGTGGATGAGATGAGTACAGTTAATCAAAGAGAGTGTGTTTTAAAATACTAATAATATTAGTTGCATAATACCTTGATGACCAAGAAGACATCTTTGACGATGTAGAATATCATCAGCCATGAATTCCCAACATTGTTCCCAGACATGTTTTGGCCTAGACATTGATTCGTTTGTTAATAGTGTTACAAATAAGAATCTCAGCTGTTTGGCTGAACACCAAGAACTTGCTTCCTTAAAAGCATCGATGTACTCTCTGTCATCGTCTAGTAAACCCATAGCATAACATGCATCACGATAGGTGTTGTGAATTACACCATCGACAGTTCTCAAATCTTCGTAAGATGTCGAACCTCGAACTATGTTTAGGAGAATTCTCATATAATAAGACTCACCAGAGCCTGGTGGGACGTATACAACACGTCCGATAGCAAAGGCTCTTAGTCGAGGTACATACTCTCTTTTAGGTTGCTTCCAAACAAATTTTTGCGGGAACTCGGCATATGTTAGCGTCTTTGCAAGAGGATATTTGTCATTTGCTTTCATCCAAGCAAGAAATTTACTCTCTTTTATGCTCTCTCGAGTGTAAACATCACTTGCATCATCATCATCTTCAAAGAAAATCCAATGTTCACCAGGAAGGTGAAAGCTTAAGCGTTCAACATTTGGACATTTATATTGTATTGGANATAGCAAAGCCTCTTAGTCGAGGTACATACTCTCTTTTAGGTTGCTTCCAAACAAATTTTTGCGGGAACTCGGCATATGTTAGCGTCTTTGCAAGAGGATATTTGTCATTTGCTTTCATCCAAGCAAGAAATTTACTCTCTTTTATGCTCTCTCGAGTGTAAACATCACTTGCATCATCATCATCTTCAAAGAAAATCCAATGTTCACCAGGAAGGTGAAAGCTTAAGCGTTCAACATTTGGACATTTATATTGTATTGGAAATCCAAATATTCGCCAAGTTGCCTCGCAAGGAGAGATATATCTGCAGTCGTAATACATTTTAACTTCATTTGGAGTTTTTGTCTGCTCTTTCTCTCCGCTTTGTGTGCTAGCATAAAATCCTGCAGTGACGCGGTCATGGCCTTTGTTGATGTACTTGAACAAATATTTGATGGACCGCGATTGATTACACCATTCAACATTTAGGTGAGCACCGTACTTCATCAACAGATATCTATTGTGCGGGACTACGAACCTATTATCCAACTCAACATTGTTCTTAATTATGGTTCGTCCATTATTCCTTTGTCGATATTTTGGATAGCCATCCTCGTCAATATTAGTTTCCTCGTTGAATTCCTTTGGAAAATATTTAGAGCACTTTCCATCCTTCATGCAGGGTGAGTTTGGTGAATTTGAGCCGCACGGGCCGTGAATCATAAAATCTCGAACAGCATTGAAGTATCTTGACTCATTCAATTCATCAGGCAACTCAGCAGATATGATTTGATCAATGTCTTTTGGCGTGGGGAATTTATCTTCTTGACCCAAAAATAATAAAATGTGGGCATGTGGGAGTCCACGCTTTTGAAACTCGACAGTATAAACAACTGCAATTAAAAGAGGGGACACGAATTATATTAGATATTGTAATTATAATAAATTAGATTGAGTATAAACTAAATAGAGAAAATAACTTACGTCCTCTAGTTCTTCCAAAAATCTTATTCTTCTTTAGATCTCGTATTAATCCATTTAGTTTCATGTTGAAGACCCTAGAAAGAATATCTGGACGATCTTCAGCCTTTAAATCTCTTCCACGCAAGTAACGTTCAATCTCTGGCCATTTTGGATTGCAAGTGAATGTTAGGAAGAGATTTGGATAGCCAGTCCAACGACATATTGCCATAGCATCTTGA